TGGAGCTCACTTGTAGCTCCCCAAGTCAGACTACCCCAAGGCCACGAAAATATATAGCAAGGTTGACCCTTTCACCACAAAGTTAAACACTTGAAGCTACCGCAACCAAGGAAAATGCCTCTTCCACAATAACTCAGAACCACAGCCCTTAGAACTCCCCAAACCGAGGCCCAAAGTTCAGAAACAAGGGGTCTGTTTGATTCTTGTTCTTAAAAACAGTTTTTAAAACAAAAAAATAAAAAAATCTGTTTGGGAATAATTGTTTTGCAAAATGCTTCCCAAAACAATGACTCTTTTTTTGTTTTTAAAACCAGAAAACCAAAACAACTTGAGGATGTTCTCCAGCGCTGTTTGCGATTTTTTTTAGGCGGTGGCAAAATCGTAATTATCAGCATATTAATGGCAGTTTCGTAAATATTAGATGGCATTTTTGTAATTCTAAAATTTTATTAATGGCAGTTTCGTAAATATTAGATGGCATTTTTGTAATTCTAATATTTCATTAATGGCATATTTGTAAATAATTACAACTTCTTTATAACTTTAATTTAACTACACTCAAACAAGTTTTTTTGTTTTTTTACTCTAAAAATCAGTTTTAAAAATTCATATTTAAAACAGTTTTTGAAAACAAAAAAACTAAAACACTTTCATACACACCCAAGGTCTCTAATCCACCCCCTAAGGCTTTATCTCTCACACATAAGGAGGTTTGATGAAGGAACCAAGAGGAAATGTGGTCTCTTGGCTCACAAGTGAAGGAAGGAAGGTGGTGGCCGATGGAGGCAGCAAGCTTCAACAAAGGTTCACATAGGATTAGAGTATGGCCTAGGGTTTTGGGCCAAACATGCATATTTATAACATTTTAAGTCTTAAGCACACAATATTAGCATTAATAACTACGCTTAGCATTTTAATCCCAAACTAAGGGTTTTGAACCTACTCATTTTTCTAAGATTTTTCATATTTTTATTTTATTTTTCGCAGTACTTTTTCGGTACTCGCTTTTACATAACCAGTATCAGTTCTGGCACCAGTTCTCATTAATTCGACTTGAAACTTATTGTACTAGTCCTATATATTTTTCTAGGAATATTCATGCACTTATTATAATTTTCTGGGATACTTCATCAGTATACATTTATACCGAGGAGCAGAACTGGTATCTGCACTTTTCGTCAGAAAAGCGACTTTCAACATTATTACTCATTTACCATAATTATTTAAGCCTTCTCATAATTATTAGAGTCAATTATGGAATTATTTCCTAATTCTCATATTTATTTAATTTAATTTCTTAATTTAACGATGCGGGTTCTTACACGTACAGTAACGATATGTGTATGGTTATGATTCTCCACATTTAATGCTTTCATCCTTTGTATGATTATGATTCCCCGCATTTAATGCTTTCATGTATATATATGACAAGTATTTGATTGCTGCACGAACAGCAGCTGCAGAAATGTAAACCTCACACACACACATATATATATATATATATATATATATATATATATATATATATATATATATATATATATATATATAGGTAAAATCATTTCTGCAGCTGCATTACGTACAACAACGACAAGTGTATGGTTATGATTTCTCACATTTGATGCTTTCATCTTTTGTATGGTTATGATTTTCCACATTTAATGCTTTCAAGTATATATACGACAAGTATTTGATTGCTGCACATACAACAACTACAGAAATGTAAATCCCATATATATATATATATATATATATATATATATATATATATATATATATAGGGCTTATCGTTTCTCAAGCTGCTTGAGACAATGTTATCTCCGGCTACTACATCATAACCGTACAAAGATGGATCAATAGTGATAAAGGAAGAGAGAGAAAAAGAGAATCATAACCATTCAAAGCTGAATCAATTAATATAAGAAAATAAATAAACAAAACGACGTAGTTTTGGAGTGGCCGAAGATAAACTTATCTCAAGCAGTTTGAGAAATATTTTTCCTATATATATATATATATATATATATATATATATATATATATATATATATATATATATAGGGGTAAGATATTGTAACAACCAATTAAGGTTATTATCAATGTTACTACCAATTAATTTCACCGTTATTTTTATTTCAATTTTTGTATGGTTATGATTCCCTATATTTAATGTGAAAGATTAAATATGCGAAATCATAGTCATACAAATGTGAAAATAAATATAAAATATTTAATGTGGGGATTTATAACCATACAAAGATGGAAATAAATATAACCGTTGAATCTATCTAACAGTGAAATTGATTGGTAGTAACATTAGTAATAACACTAATTGGTTGTTGCAATATCCTTCCCCATATATATATATAGACATATACATATTTATATCTATATATATATATACATATATATACGGTAAAATTATTTCTGCAGCCGCTTTACGTACAACAACGACATGTGTATGATTATGATTCCACACATTTAATGTTTTCATCCTTTGTATGGTTATGATTCCTTGCATTTAATGCTTTCAAGTATATATATGGCAAGTATTTGATTGTTGCACGTACAGCAGCTGCAGAAATGTAAACCCTTATATATATATATATATATATATATATATATATATATAGGGCTTACCGTTTCTCAAGCTGCTTGAGATAATTTTATCTCCGGCTACTAAATCATAATCGTACAAAGATGAATCAATGATAATATAAGAAGAGAGAGAAAAAAGGAATCATAATCATTCAAATGTGAATAAACTAATATAAGAAAATAAATAAACATAGGGTAGCCGGAGATAAACTTATCTCAAGTTGACGGAGAAATATTTTTCTCATATATATATATATAATATATATATATATATAAGGATTACTTTTTCTACAATCAATGTAGATAACGTATTTACATTGAGTCCAAAACGACGTCATTTTGAGGCGAAAATCAATGTATCTTTCTCTTTATAATTTATTTCAGGGTTCTAATAGACTTTTTCATTATAATTTTTTTATTTTTCAACCTAAAACGACGTCATTTTAGGAGCGAATGTAGATAACTTATTTACATTCACTTTAGAAACATTAAAGCCATATATATATATATATATATATATATATATATATATATATAATGATTAAAATAAAGTGAATAAAAAAATATATAGTTGGTAAAAATATTTGAATTTCGTCCTATAATTTTTAATTTCTTTCTGGTCGCATCAAAGGATGATGCTATATGGAAGCGTGTCCCACTAATAAATTTATATAATTATTTAATGTGAAAGAATAATTAGCTGCATATGCGGATATGATAATATTTTATTTATTTTACTTGATTATGATAATAAAATAATTACGTCTAATTGATTAAATTGGATATTTAAATTAATTATTTTGATTAACTAGATTCTTGTTATTTATGGGAACGAATTTTAATTTTAATTTAACCAAGTATTAAAATTTTCATAAATTGATTAAAAGTATGTTCGAATATGATTTTATTTATATTTATTAATTTTTTTAAATATAATTTTTAAAATTTAATATTCAAAGTAAGAGAATTATAAGACTTATTTAAATATAATTAGATTTATAGTTATAAACACTTTATATATTTACAACAATGCCACTAATAAAGTTTCATAATTACAAAATTATAGCCGTAAAGAAATTTAAATTTTAAAAAATAATGAATTTATTTATGAAAGTGACATTAATGAATTCTTTTTATTTTTTGGTAAATGAATGAATTCTTATAATTAAGAAATTGTCACCATAAAAATAAATTTTTGAAAATATTCCTAATTTATTCTCCTTTTATAATTTTAAAAATTAAAAAATAATTATTGTTTTGGGAATTAACTTTGTAAAATAATCATTTTCAAACAATGTTTTAAAAACTAAAAAACTTGCTTTTAGAAATAGAACGACCTTCGGAGTGACTGGGTGATTAAGAGTCCGTTTGTTTGAGTTTATCAAAAAAGTAATTTTTATCTCTTTTTTATTTTAGAAGTGTTTTTTATAAAAGTTAAAGTTATTTATATTTTTATAAAAATATTTAGTTTTTGAAAAAAATTTTGACTTTTGACTTTTACTTTTCTTAAAAGTTAAAATTTTTAGCTTCTGGAAAAAGTAAGTTTTTGGCTTTTTTATGACTTCTGCTTTTTTTAAAAGCAGACGTCCAAATGAACTAAAAATGAGAATTGCTTTTTTTCTTGAAAAAAAACAGCTTTTGAAGAAAAAAAGTCTATCCAAACAAGCCCTTAGGGAGCGTTTGGTACGAGGTTTTTTTTTGTAGGATTTCTGGAAAATTGAATTTTTCTAAATTTTAAATTTTTGGATATTATCGTAAACTGAACGTGAAAATCATGTTTCTAAAAATCGAGATTGTCGGACAAAAAAAAATTTCTCCTGTATTAAACGTACCTTAGTGTGTTTGGAAAAAGCTTCATTTAGATTCTCTTGACCCAATGCGTGGTGTAGTACTGTGGATATGCCTTGTTTAAAAATACTTCAGATCTTCAATCAGTTTCTCAAATTTATGTGTTGTGTGTAATACATTCAAGTCCAATAACTAGTTTTAACTTGTGCAATACCGTTCTCTATTTTTTCCTGTAGAGCAAATTTTAACATTTCTTTATTCCTATCATATTTTAATTGAATCCTCTGCTTAAGTAGGTCACATAGAAGAGCCTTGATAGTTTCTTGGTCTTCTTTTAAAATAAGCATGCAAGACAAGAATTTTTTATTTTATTTTATTTTGGTGCATATATTTTGATTCCCGGATTCGATCCTATAAATTTCCTGAATTTGAAACGTGATGAGTTCGAATTCGAAAAATAACTTCTTTGCAATTTAAGTTACTAATAAGGATTATGCTCACCTCATCTTTATTAGTACGGATTTAATGAGATTTTTTTTTTTTTTAATGAATATCAACCATAAGACACACAAATGAAACAGAAACAACAGCTAAAATAATTACTATTTGTGGGACAAAATTGAATGAAATTCTTTCTCTAATATTAAATTACATCAGGGATCTATGCTGCATAATTTTTTTAGTATGATTGAGCCACCATCTACTCTTCCCAATGATTTATTGGTGAGGCAGAGGAGTGGTAAATGTTCTAACTACTATCTATGAATCATCAATTTTAACTGGAACTGGTTTCATCTGGGGAATGGCTTTCCTCTGTATCGTTATTTTCTTTGTTGATGACTTGGTCTTCCTCATCTTTTACTTTTGATTTCAACAAATGGGGCTTGAGTTTGTTTACATCAGACTGTTGAACTGGTTTTAGAAAAAATTCTTTAGCTCCATCTTCTAGGCATCTGATCAAAACAAAAATTAATTTGTCAGATTTGAAGTTTATTCATGTGATGCACTCAAATTTATGAATTTAAAATTTCATGATAATGTTATCTGGACTGGATATTAGGATGCAATTTCCCTCACCTGTTGATTCTTGATGGTACATCCTCTGATGACATAATCACCACTGGTATGTCTATTTCAGATTCCTGCAAAATCAATAAACTTTAGTCATTTTTCTAGCATAAGATAGAGAAGATACAAGCTATTGAAGGTTATTATGCCCATCACAAAAAAAAAAAAAAAAAAAAGGTTTGAGATTTGTTTCATTGAAAATTTGGCCAATTTCCAAGCTCGGATGTGATAGAGTTATATAAAAAAATGTTTTTTGAAAATATGTATCACATTTATTTCTGAATCCGATCCCATCATTTCAAATTATTAACTGAATTGGGGGGAAAAGAATTCAAATTCAGTATATAATTTGGCAAAGTTCAAATTTTGAAATTGTGCAGAAACTAATGGAATTTTTTTTTTTATGAAATATAAAGTAGATCAATCACATAAAGATGTGACAAAGTCTTTTTATTAGTCTTTAAAATATCCCAGGAATTTACCTTGATCTTTCTCATCAGATCATAGCCTGTCATTCCAGGCATGCAGTAATCAGTTATGATCAGGTTTACTTCTACATTCTGCAAAAATAAATAAGAGGAATGAGATCATAGATCAAAATAAACTTCCACTAAAAAGAGATTAAACCATATATGTATTAGTATTGAGTAATTTAACAAAAGAATTAAACCTGATTGGTTTTTGGAGCAAAAGAGGGAGGCTCTTCATTCCTCTGCTCATCTTCAACCAAACCAAGAAACTTCAAAGCCTTAGTACCAGAATCCACTACAGTAACTGCAATCACAAAACATACAAAAAAGAATTAGCCATCAAATTAAGTAAACCAAAACAACCCCTTCAAAATTGTAACTTGAAAGACCAAACAAGCCACATAATCATTTGACTTCTACAATCATATTGCAGCATAACAATCTAACATAAAAAGAAGAGAAAAAAAAAAGTACCATGAAAGGAAGAGGTTTTAAGGAGCCTTTCAATCAACATTCTGTCAATAAGACTATCATCAACAGCCAAAACATGAAACTGGGACTCAGCAACTATACCCATAACTTGAATGATGATGTGAAAGTGCAAGCAAAAACAAAAGTAAAATGACAGAAAAAGAAGGGAAAGAACAAGGGAGAGGAATAGAAAGATGAAGAGAGTGATGAAGGAGAATGAGACATTTAAAAAGGGTGCACATCATGATCAGAAAGATACAAAATCCTCTTAGGAAATCTGACAGTTTGGAAAGCAAGATCCGACAGATTTCATCCAGAATCTACCGGATCTTCTGGGTTGGTTTTTGAATTGAAAAACAAGCAAAGAAAGTGCTGTTTATTGTACCAAACTTCAAATCTGACTTATTCATTATTATTCTATTTGACCCTTTTGCTTATAATTAAAAGACAAAACTATTGGGGTGTGCTATACTGTTCTCTTTACCTCATTGGCCTTTTCACGAGACCTGAAGGTCATTGTTTAGAGTCATATTTTCTCTATTCCATTCCATGCACGTGCATGGACCAAGCTTTGCATTTAGACCCACCCACTAGTACAATTACAAGCCATTACATTGTGTAATTTTTTTGCATATTAATTAACATTTGTCTTTTGTCTAATTTTAAGAGCCAATATTGACCAAAACCATCTAGAATTTTCAAACCCCTCAAACAAATTCTGTTGTTTTGTTGAAACATTCCACCCTTTTAGTTTTTTTATTCACTCAACGTGCTACTTGATTTGTTTCTCGTTTTCGAACCATTTTTTTGAATCCAGAGCATAATTAAATTAATTAGAGTGAGAAGGAATTTAATTAAAAAATGATATAGTAACAAGTCATGGTTTTCCAAAATTATCCTCCCAAATTAGGTAGTCTTAAAACGACATTTTTTTATCTTCTTTGTCTCAAAGTCAGCACTGTTCTGCATTAGCATAACGTTGACTTTCAACCTCTGCATCTTTTATCTCATTTTTGTTCTCAGGGGTCAATTTTTATTTTAAAAGATATCATCGGAACATGATCATTTGAGCAATTAAACAATTGAACATTTTTGACATTTTTGATTTTTTTATGCAAATCATCTGACAGCTAAGAAAGAAAAATAACAATCTTTTTCTTTAAAAAAAATTATTGGTAATGTTGGCAATATATTCTTTAATTTTGGTCAGTAATTAGGATATGTCAGAAATAGTTATGAAAAACGCATGATTGGCTATATTCGAATTGCACGATTCAATACCTATTATCAAGTGAACGATTCGTATAATATGACAAATCATATATGATTTTAAATGTACGATACATGTATAATAAATGTGATTCGGTGTCTCTTATTATACGAATCACAATATTTAATTATTTGTTCTTTTTTTTCTTTCATCCATTCTCATAAAAGAAATTAAAAGTGAAATGAACATAAGTTGTTAAATCAAAATAACGCCATTAAATTCACCCTATTTTATTATTAATTCCATCATTGTCTTGTTAAATAGGGATACACTCATCATTTTATGCATCTTATATAGCTATTCAATTCCTATATTTTCATTTTATAAAATAGAGGTTCATATAGTGAGTCACTTACTCTATATGCATTTTATTTTATTCAATTAGTTTATGTGATTCAATTATAATTTATGACTCATAAATCTTTGTTTTGAGATTTGTGATCAAGGTATTTTGTCAATTTTAATTACGACTAAGCTGGCAATAAAATTTTGGTGAATAAGTTGCCAATAAAATATTGTTCGATCCACCGCCGATTAGGTTTACTGTCCAATCTTTTAAGGTTGTTGGTTTGTTATGTTTTTAATATTCTTTTGTTTAACAACTATAAATTTGTTGGTTTAACAATCAGAAATTTGAATAGTCTTTTGTTTTTCTAATACTTGTTATTTTTTCTCTTTAATTTCAGGAGGAGCCAATGCTCCCCTCGTATAAAAGTGGCACCGCCACAGATTATTATGAGTGCTATGAGGTACATTTTCTATATAAATAACATTACCATATAAAATAAAATGGCATTGAGTTAGGACAAGGAGAATAATCCTATGTAGAAAAGAATTGATACTACATTTTTGTAATGATAATACAGAAAAAGAAAGCTAATCAAACCAACTCTATTGACCAATAAACAAATGCTTTGCAAGTTGCATGAAAAGGAAACAAGGAGATTGTGATATTATGGTTGTGGAGATCAGCTATGTTAACTACTTGTTAGCCTCCCATCAGATCCCCATTACAGATATTGTGACTCAGCTGCCACCTTTCCTTAGTGAGCAGACCACGTGACCATATATTATATGGGTTTTATGTTTATCATGTAACATGATATAACATCACTTTCCTACACACACATTAAAGAGGTGGGGTCCACATGTTTTTCTTTCTCTTTCATCATTCCACTTTCTCTCTCCATTTTTGTGTGTGTTGAAACAACACTTAAATCATGTAGCATAACACTAATAAAACCCATATTATATATATCTCACATATTCAATTTTGATCATTTATCTTTTATGGATTGGTTGTTGGTTGTTGCTGATGTTATTTGGACATTGCAAGGAGAGTGCTTGATTTGAAGCATGATGGGCATAGGAATAAAAGATAACATGATCTTGCTATGTGAAAGGTGTATAGTAAGCAGTTTTAATTTGCATTTGTAAGAGATTGATTAAGTGGGGGTAAAAAAATAACTTAATGCACGTTAATACTTTTCTTACTGTTTGGAAGCTTCCGGGGGTTTAGAATGAATGGTATTGTATTGTTTTGTTTGTGTCAACCTATTTGAATAAAGGAGGGAGCTAGATTTAGGAGATTAACTATAAGCAATCGCCAATGATATCATTGTCTTTTCCTTACGCGGTAATAGGAATTGAAAGTTATTATTTTGGACCAACACACAAGCTCAACCTATTGGGCCAATCTTTAAGGCCCATATAAGGGGTTGCACTTCTGTATTCCTAAAGCGAGGCAAATATAATCTCATCACATTGAATTTCATTCCCTTGGACAGGCACCTCATGCATCACAACTAGTGGAGTTATAATTCCATCACACTCCTTATTAGAGAAGATTTTTCACCTATATATACCCCTCATTATTGCGAGGAGAGATATTTTGCACACTAGTTTATTGAGTTTTATATTTTACCAGAAAGCCCTTTGGGCTTTAGTGCATGAGAAAAGCCCAAAGGTCAAAGAATTCGGATTTCTTGATACCCATATAAATATTCCAATTTTGGTCTGCACAAGTCAAATCAAAAAGTGAAACCATAGAGTAGCCACATACTCCTCCCTTTCCACTTGCCTGAGAAAATAGTGTAAAAGATTCTTTCATCTAATAGCCGCCTTTTGTGAAAAGATTGTACAATGGCCATTCTCTATAAGGATACACAGAAGCAAGGAATCACAACACTGGACAAAGGATACTTCACGTGTCTGTGCTTGATAACACATATTTTGTTACACTTATTTATTATTCTTGGTTGGTATTTTTACGATTTATTTGAATTAAATAAAGGTCTCTTGGGTCAAATTAGAATTTTAGATTTTAATTGGGTTTAATTGATTTTCGTCATAATTTTTCAAATTTACACTACTTTCGTATCTTGGCCATATCTCACTCTACAGATGTCCGATTAACTCCGTTCTTGTTGCGTTTCCCCGTTAACAGAAAGGGATACAATCGCTATTTCAGCTACTGAAGCCCAATTCGGACGAAAATACGGTCAAAACCTGAGCCCAAGATGACGAGTTTTTGCTGGAATCTTATTTTGACATTTGGACTTGTAAATCAGATTAGAACCTGATGTGTTTAGGGCCCAAGGCCATGTTTTAATATTTTATTTTATTAAGTTTTTATTTTATGTATGGGCCGAAGTGGTGAAACCCTAACCTGTTCTGAATGTGGGTTATTTAAGGGAAACGTTAGGAAACCCTTCGGCAGTTAGATTTTGGATTAAACAATTGTTCGAAGTTTTTCTTTGAAATTCAAGATTCTGCACTCTTTCCTTTTCATCTTCTTCTTCTTCTCTTATTTTATTATGAATGACGTTTAATCTCGCGATGCTAGGCTAAACACCTTTAATCAATATAAGGTTAAAGGTTCGTTGATTTATTTCAGAGGATCTGTTTTTAACTTTTTAAATCAGTTTCATTTTTTTCCACTTCAGGTTGAATATCATGCGATTGTAGATATTCAAACTGAATAATGCGATTGCATTCTATAAGGGAAAATTGATCATTAGATTTAATGGTCAGATTAATTTACCCGATGAACATAAGTTGAACAGATCAAAACTACTGAGATCGTATAGCTGAGATAGATACTGTATTCAACCAAATGCTAGACGATAGTCTAGGGTTTCCAATTGAATTTGAGGATTCCGAATTCGATTGGGGTTAATCACAAATTGATAATTATAATCTTTTAATCCAACGACGAAATAAATTAATGAATCCTGATTCCTAAGGTTGATTGCTTTTTAATTATGATTTTTTAAATCTCTTTTTCAAATCTGTTTTTATTTAAATTTCAAATCAACAAACCCCCTCATTCCTTTTATATTCTATTTTGCAAGAGCGTTTCTGATTTCTAGCAGGTTCTTTGGGAGACGATCCAAGTTGCCCTATCACTACAAATCTAAGCTCGGTAATTTGCGTGGGTTCGACAGCGCACGTCAAATTTGGCGCCGTTGCCGGGGACTCTGCACGTCAATAGCGTTCTTTCTCTTTCCCTTTTCTTTCTCTAATTTTTCTGTTTTCTTGTTATTCTTGTTCTTCTTGTTGTTCTTGATCTTCTTGATCTTCTTGTTCTTCTTTTTCTTCTTCTTTTAATTTTTGTTTTCTGCAATTTTTGTTTTTGTTTTTATTTTCCAAATCCTTTTAATTTTCGTTTTCTGTTTCTGTTAAAAAAAATTATTTTGTTTTTGATTTATCTGTTTTGCATATTCGTTGTTTATCTGTTTCTGTTTTGCATTCTGTTTCATTTTCTGTTTCGTTTCTGTTTCATTTCTGTTTCTTTCTCCGTTTCATTTTTTTTCTTTTTCGTTATTGTTTGCATCTTGTTCGCATCAATTCTGCATATGTTCCTCTTCTGCATCTGCATTTTGTGTGCGTTCTGTTTCGCCTTGTTTTTCTTTTCTGTTTGAGCAGTCTGCACATTTTTCTTGTTGCTGCGTTTGCATTTGTCTGTGTTTTTGCATCCGTAATCTGCACCTTTTTTTCGGCATCAGAATTTGCATCTGCAACTGTATCTTGTCTCAGTTTTTATTTTTTCTGCATTACGGTTTATGTTTTTGGGCAATTTTGGAAAATCGGCCAGAC